ACACCCCCCCCCCCCCCGCCCCAGTGTAGCTGGTCATACTGCAATCCCTTTTCTATTTCTCTGCCCAATTGGGATTTCGGATGGGCATGCCTAGGGACCTATCATGTTTTTTAAGCTTTCAGGGCCAGAATTCAAACCACATGGTCAGCCATCTGGGATCTGGCTTCCTTAATCACCAGGCCATGGAATCACCAAGCCATGGAGTTGGCCTTCATTATTATTATTATTATTTTTGCACCAAAATAAACTCATACTTTAAGTTCATTCTTCCATGACCTTTCCGAAGTTCCCTCACTTAACTCTCTGATTTAGAAATAGGTTTAATAGAAACTACCAGAGTTTAAATAGGGGGAAATTATTCTGTATAGATTTTACTTCTTTGGCCATTTTATGTCAAAATCCATGACATGTAGAATCTGGGTTATGTGTTCAGTTTTATAGGATCAGTACTAAACGCAAAAATATTTTTAGAGTGGAGTGGCATTTGAAAGGAGAAAGCAGATTAAAAGATACTCTAGACACCTGCAAGTTATGAAGATCTAAATATAATGCTAAATTTTGTAGTTTGCTTATAGCATTCAAAAAGACATAAAGGTCTAAAAAACAATAGGCTGTTGTGTTTCGTCTCTCCATTCTTTGTAGGTGTTAAAGAGCCTCTGAGCTGTAATAACCCTTTGACAAAACAAGATATTCAGAAAAATGATCAATTTTAGAATTTCTGTAGTTCAGGACCAGCAGATGGTGTAATGGTTACATTGCTGGACCTCCCACTTAGTCGGTGCAGTTTGAATCTCGGAGCCAGTGGCTTAAAACTCACACTGGGTACGTGTGAGTGTGTGCTCACCCAAAATCTTGAGAGGAGAGTGGAGGAGAAGGGATTGCAGCAGGGCCATCCCCCCCTTGGAGGGTGATTTCTTGCTTTCTGTCTCTGGTGAATGCATGAACCCTATAGCAAAAAATGTCTCCTTAAAAAAATAAATAAATAAAAGAATGTTAGTGTGGAAATGTTTTAACTGAATGGACAGAATCAGTCTGCTAATGTGTAAAAATGTATGTCTTTATATGGATTGGAATTTAGCTTCATAAGTGGGTAGTTTTCCATTAGATAGTATAGAAATCTAGTTTGTCCATTATATCTGTCACTGAGTGAAGATTATTTCACTAAAAACAATACACATTCATGGTGTGTGTCTTAATAAAATAAGCCACTATTAAAGAATTATAAAAATGAATTATTTTTGAAAATTGGTCATAAAAATAAAGGAACTATTTATATGGCAATATTGTGTATATCTAGTTCTCTTTATATTTAAACATACTGCTGCTGAGAACACTGATGACAGGAATGTCACTGTTAGAACTTGCAGTAGGTTGTGGCTTGATTCAGTTTATCATTTCCTCTTTCTTGGTCTTCATTAATCCTGAGACCCTTAAAATGGCTGACATGTTTATGATTTTACTGTGGTAACTTTGGAAACATGAGCCTTTTTAAGATCAAAAGCAGAAGGAAAATAGTTGTTCAAATTGATGCCAGGCCTACCTTCATTCCCTCCCTTAATCATTCTTTTTCTCATTCAGCTCAGATCATCCTCCACTTGAAAACTGAAGTTTTACAACCATCAAAAACCTATCATTACTTAACAACAGTGAAGATGAACAGAAAAATTCAAGTAGCTTTGCAAACACTAATTGATACCCAGTGAAATCAGATCACTATTTTTATGCTTGAAACACACCCTGTGACTTGTGTTTAATTACAGAAGCCTGTATTGCCTGCAGCAGTTTTGTGATTATAATACTGATGGATTGGTTCCTCCTGATTATAACTCAGTACTCCTTGTGGTCTTTTGGCTCCTCCATCTTAACAAAGCTAAACTGGAACCTGCCCTCAGATTTAATAAACTATAAGATTTCTTGATTAAAGGAAAATTCAGTATTTACACTGGAACATTATCTAAAATAAAGGAAGGATAATGAATAGGCATCGGATATAGATAACCTTGTGTTAGCGTCCCTGTAGGTCGTCTGTTATCTTTCATGTGTTTATTTCTACAATCTGCATTAGAAAATTATAACATCAGCATTTCTGACAGCAAAAATTGGCATACTTAAATTTTTTGTAGCTTGTGGGCATCCTTAAATGCTCATATATTACAGACTGAGGAGGCAAGATTAAAAAAAAAACTGAAATGTCTCATTGCCAGTACGCTTTCAAGCATGCTTCATGGCTGTCAGCGTCATTGCCGACTCTGACTGTGTCTACATCTGTATATACACTATGATTAGAAGATATGCAAGAAATTATTTTTTCACACTGAGAGCAAATAACGTTAAAAGATGTCCTCTTGGCTGTACAGAGTAGGAGTATTACTAAGCCAGGGTAGCTTTTCTCTTAATATGATTTCGTGTTTTCATATGGGAATGTGATGGAGTCCATTTTATTTTGCTGGGAGTGGAGAGTGAAAGCGTGAGTTAATCTAAAAGCATTCACACATTTGTTTTAGAATGTGCTGTAATGCTTATATCTGAACAGGAATCTGCCACAGAGCGGCATAAAGATGCAGTGGTTTGGGACCAGCAAATGGTGTAATGGTTATGTCGCTGGATTCCCATGTAGTCTACCATGGTTTGAGTCCTGGACTCAGGGGCTTAAAACTCATGCTGGGCTCATGTGCCCAAAATTCCGAGAAGAGAACAGAGGAGAAGGGATTGCAGCTTGACCATCCCCACCAGGTGGTGACTTCTCACTTCTGTCTCTCCAGAGAATGCATGCATTCGATAGCAAAAATCTCTCTAAAAGGAAAAAAAAAAAAAAGACACTGGTTCATATGGAGCTGGAGGTGCTCCACTTGATCCACCCCTGTTGTTTTTTCATGTTGTACACAGAGAACACCATCCCTAGACAGATGCAGGTTTGGGGTCTTGTTTTTTTTTTTTAGTCTTACTCTGATTTGTTTTCCAGAAATCAAGTAGAATAAGGATGGAGAGACAAACTCTTATTCTGGCTCCTGTTTTATTCTAAGAAGCTGCTTAGAACAAGTCAGTGAGAATTGAAAGGAAAAGCATGACGACCCAATTACAGGTGATAATGTAAGCATGTAAGAGCAAGGACCAATGCGTTGTACTTCTGTGTCTCCCGAGCTCGTGGCCCCGGCAGAGTACTGTGTACATGGCAGGTGCCAGACAAATGTGTGTGGAATGAATGTGCCCGAGAAGCCACAAGGGTACCAGTGTGCTCATACGGAAGCGGGAGTCACCTCTCGGTGCTCACTGCAGGGGGGTCATGGTCGATATCTCAGTGGGGCCCTCTGCCTTGACCTGGAGAGACCAGTGCTCTTTCATAACCTCTAGGCGTGTGGGCGTGGCAGCACCCACCCTGGGGCGTAACCACCGAGTCTAGAAACATTCTGCTTTAGTGTTCCATTCGGCTCTTTTCATTTGAAGAGATCTTAAAATAATTCATTTTAATGCTACAAAGTAAATAGCATAAATCAGAGATTTCAGTCAGTAACATGTCAATAATCGAACTGTAAGAAAATGCAAGCACTTTATTTTATGTCCTGGGTATATGTCATCATTTTAAATTCCATGCTCCTTTATTTAACTTTTGATAAGTGCCTTTGATGTTTTAAGATGTGTACTGGGAGCTGAGCAAATGTAAATGTCGTGTGCCCTGTTCTATAGCTTCTTAATTCCTCGTAACTATTTTTACCAGTGTTGCAAAGTTCAGTCCTTTGTGTTCATCTCGGATATGTATTTGTAGCCTCTCTATAGTAAGGAGCGAAATAAACTATTTCATAGAAAACCAAAATCAAGCACTTTGGCTTATTCAATATGTGTTACCTGTTGCTTTAACTTCAGAGCGTAGTTTATTTAACCATACATCTGGAAAGTCATCCCGGACTTAATCCACCCCAGTTTCCCAGTAAAGTACATGGAAGAAAAATGAGAAAAAGAAAAGGTATTTTGTCACCAAAAACTGTGCCTGGTGCACAACCTATTGGCACATTTAAGAGGAAAGTCTCAGCATGTAATCCAGCCTCTCAATTGCAGGAAAAACAAGGGATGGAATTCTCATGCTTTACCTCAGCGATATCTACTTGAAAGGGCCAGCCCTACGGCCTGGTGGTTAAGGGAATCTGATCCCACATAGCTGACTATGCAGTTTGAATCCCAGCCCTGGCAGCTTGAAAAACATGCCATGTGCGCGTGTGCCCAAATCACAACAGGATGGAGCAGTAGGGAAGGGGTTCAGTCCAAGCATGCCCCATTGCAGAGTCATCTCTCTCTCTCTCCCTCTCCCTCCCTTTCTCTCTCTCTCTCTCTGGCAAGCACACATGCCATCTGAGAATTAAAAAGAGAGAGGGAGAGAGAGGATAGCAGACCAGTTTTTACATCTGTGTTCCACTCAGGAAACTTAGTGTCCCGTCTCTGCTGCGTGGTGCTGTTTAGAGTCACCCGGAGTAGCGTTCGTTGTCGCTGACCTCCCACTGC